CCCAAGCGGTCTTACTTCCTCCCGCAGTTCCCTCCATAGGTGCACTGAAAAGTTGCAAGACAATGAACGAAAGTATACCTTCAACTTCAAGGGCCATTCTTGTAACAAGGTTCTTCCAGATCGTTGAAGACGAGGTGCATGCGGCTTCTTTTCTAAAAACCAAATTCAAAAGTATAAAATGGCAAATAAACGTCTGGGTCGTAACAATCCCGGAATTTCCGGGCGGGGGTCGGCGGCGTCAAAATTGTTTGACACCCCCCCCCCGTCGACACTTTTGTAAAATGGCAGAGAAACGTTCTAAAAACTCGGAAACAGCGCTACAGGTTTAAATTTTGGAGAAATGGGTTAAAGAAAAACCTAGTATTGAAAAAATAACAACAAAAAAGCCAAATTTGAAGCGAAATTTTCGATAAAATGAATAAAAAATAAACGCGATGAAAAATAAAATGCCTCGTATCGTACAGGCCTGCCTAGAGGCCTCGACAACTGGCCGGGCTTCAAAGCCCGTTGACCAGGCCCAAACTTGGTGCGCCCGGGCCTGGATTTGGAGGTAGGGGCCGGGCCGGCTGGGCCTGCATCAGCCCTGGCCCATGGTTTTCGGAGAAAATATTTCGCATTCTGAACCAAAAATTTACGTTCTGTTGACTTTCGTCCAAACCTTTTCTATTAAAAGCGCCGCAGGTAGAAAGATTGTCGGGAAAAAAATCTCAAGGGGCCCCTCGAAGCAGCAGTTTTGAGGCGCTAATTAAAGTCTTTTCAAAGCTAAGTTATATCCCGGATAGGCCGTTTTACACAAGATATTTTTTCAGTCAATTAGCTTATGACGGTCTTACGCTTTTGTATCGCTTTTTTGTCGGAATACGTAAAGAAACAAGTTTCCAATATCGGGAAGCTAAATACAACTGTCCAATACAACAATACAACAGATGCTAAAAATGGGTTTGTAAATTCCCATTTTGAGTAAATACACACAAAGTGGCGTCACCAGGGAGTCACGACGCGAAAAACGGTCGATACGTGGTATGATTTAGGCCTTAGAAGACTTTAGTTAAAACAAACAATGAACCGAAAGGAAAGACTGCGAAAGTAAAAAACCATAAAATAAAGTGAAAAGTTAATAATTTGACATATGTATGACACGCGGGGGAAGGGGGAGAATTTGCCGCGGGGGTGCGAGAAGCTTGGGTGGAACGTATCCTTAAAGCGGCTCTGGCAGCACACCGATGACGGCATTTTGGGGACCGGGCAGAGACGCAGAGTTCTGTCTGCGTCTCTCCTCTGGGCGCGCTCTTTCTCTCCCTGCCGCGACGCACCCGACCGCGACGCTTCCACGAGTCGTGGAAAAAGGGGCTTGCTGCCAGACGCCCTTTAAGCGGGGCCGTATATATCCTTTTATAATATTGAGGTGTTATTGTTTTGCAATAAAATTCATATGAAAAGTGGAATAACTGAGATTTCTCTCTCTCTCTCTCTCTCTCTCTCTCTCTCTCCTCTCTCTCTCTCTCGCTCTCTCTCGCTCTCTTTCCTCTCTCGCTCTCTCTCTCTCTCTCTCTCTCTCTCTCTTTAGCTTCTATCTAGCAATATATCTATAGAAGAGTCTAAGATAACACACGCACCTGCCGCATTACAGTGTTGTCATAGAAAGAGGCGTGGGGACGGGTCAGTACAAAGTGTGTTTGATAGATTGCGCTATTGAGGCCGACAAAGACATAAGACAGGGTCAGCTCCACCCGCCTAACTACTCCCTCCTTTTCTATTATACACCTGTCGCTCGAGGTGTTCCCTTGGGGGTAATGTCATTCCACTACTCTTGACAGTTGGCTACCCTCGTCTTGCCTCTTTTCGCTTCTAAGCATTAGTTCGTAAATTTTCGCTCAATTTAATAGCTGTTATAGAGTATTTATGTTATGTTTAAATGTCTAAGCAACTTACTGAATTTACGATATTAGGTAATTTGCCTTTTATACCATATTTATTGACTATCATCCTTGAATTTGCCACGAGTAACAACCGTTGAAATGGATATTACGGCGCTTACATTTTTGAAATTATTAGCCTATATATACATTGATGCTTACAGTAACCAATTGTTATCAAGGACTGTCGATTGCATATTTGACCAAGTATAGCTTTATTAAACTAGACCACCCAATTCAAGGCCACAATCATAACCCAAGACGGCCCAACATGGGCGTGGCTTCCTGATGGGTATCCAGGGAATACATATAGCCTAGGTTTGATAAATGGAGTATCATGGTTGAGAGAGAGAGCGAGAGAGAGAGAGAGAGAGAGAGAGAGAGAGAGAGAGAGAGAGAGAGTGGCAGACACAGAGACAGGCAGACAAATTGCCCCCGGATCGAAGAGGGCAGGTGGCCATCCATGTCTTTTGTATATGGGCATATTGCGTAATGGGGGAGGAGCTGCCATTTATTGCTCACTCTTTCTATACTACCGGATATTCCTGTAATCCGATGTGGGAGAGAGAGAGAGAGAGAGAGGCATTCAAGGGTCCCAGCGGGGGAGTGCCATCGGTTTGAGGTCTGGATACTCATTTGCTGGATCGCTAGGTCACAGTCATGCACTTCTACTAGTTTTGCATAACTCCCTTTTTAAAAAAAATTTGGTGAATTTGTTTCTTAGCATTTATCAGTTCGTTATGATAATTATTTGCTTTCAAACCTGTGGATTTGACCAATAAGCTACTTTACTTTAGTTTTACTATTTTAAAATAATGACCTAAGAGCTTAAATAGCTTCAAAGAAACTATGAACCGATTAATGCTAAATCATAATAGTTTTAAATAATAATAATATTAGCATTTCTTAAACAACGAAGGTGTTCGCTCTTCGGCGTGAAAGAAATCAATGATGCAAAATATAGAAGCGGCCCAAAAACACGAAAATTAGATGATTTATAGAGGGTTTGACAGGCGTTGGGACGTTATGTCTCGTTCTCTAGACAGATTTTGGCCACAGTCAAAAATTTTCCAAAATTGTGTAGTTTTTTTATGAACTTTTTATCTCTAAAAAACGTGCAAAATGCTGTTAAAATTGTTTATTTTTGTTGTAGGTCCGTAAAGGTTCTTTGGAAAAAAATTGGTTCCCCTGCTGACAGTCCAGTGCCGTATAGGACGGCCCAAAATCTATCAAATCATGTATAGAACCTTTAATCGGTCGTGTCTGCGGGTCTTAGAGGACCTTTACTTTCTTGCGAACCAGAGCAGTTGTTTTTCACGATTTTTCCACTACTGTACTGTTGGCACGTCTATTTTTTGCTACAACCAAATGACTGGGATGCCTGCGGGTTCCCCAGCGGCTTTTCTTTGATGTCGAGCGCCCATAAATTTACACAACATCCCATAAAAGCCATTGGGGGGTGTTCTTGTGTTCACACCTTTCGATTCGGGGTTCGTTTGGTTGTCGATTGCAATGTAAAGTAGATTCGTGTAGGTTGTAGTTTGTATATCTTTGAAGTGGACCTAGAGAGCAGCCATTGCTTTTCATTAAAGTTTTGGAATTGGGACCGCAATTAACTCGATGCTACCGAAAAATCGAGCACTTCAACCCTGGCGACAATTCAATCAATCCCTTACCCCTTTCAAGTGATTTTATCTCGTCGGGTTGCGGTAAAGCCTTTGCCCCTAGATGGCCCTCCAAGATAAAGTCAATGGGGGAAGATGCGCGAAATCCCTCCTTCCCTCTTCTTTCACCCCTCAAGGCCGGTCTTCCTCACTTCAATTCCAACGGTCAATTCGTTCGCATCCCCATTTTTCTAATTTTTTTATTTGTATTCAAGGGAGCAAGGCAAATCCCAGAGTCTGTTAGCGCAATTCGGTTCTAATTGTTTAACATTTCAGGCTCCTTCTATATTAAATTTCGATATATAAATTTCTAATGTCCGTGACCCCGACCGACCGGGAATTCGGCCAAATTCTGCATTCAAATTCCAAATTCAAATTGTGGGAGAGGGGAATGAGGCCCAGCGCTGAACCTCCGCGTAGCGAGAGGTCAGCGCTGGCTAAATTCCGAATTTTCGGTACGTAATCGTTTTCAATTGATGAGATTGCGTACTTTCCACAATCATAGCTTTGATCTTGAAGGCCATGCTTGCCACCACATGACACAGCAATCATCTCACGAAATTTCAATTTTTTTTGAGTTCGGGAGGAACTCCGCTAGCTTGCCTGGAGTCTATGGACGTCATAAACTGAAATTACCATAGATATTTTGGTTTTTCAATCACCTCTGGTAACCGGCAATCTCAACATTTCCTCAAGGGCATCGACTATAACGCTAAACTTCAAAAAAATTTGAAGTTTTTAGTTTGATTGAAAGTTTTGAAAGAATTCTTAAAAAAGCTATTCGGTGACGCTTAAAATTTAAGGAACAAAAATAGCCCAAAAATCTGGATTCTTCAATCATCTCTGCTAATCCAACAATTCCCGCACTTCCTCAATGTTTTTTTGCTATGTCATCTATCCTAGTATCTTACAATATTCTGTTCTACAAATTCAGGTGATTTCCCCAAAACCCCGCTAGATTCCTCCTCAACCATCAAGCCGTCAGAGTTAAAAATATATACAACACACCGTTTCCTCAATTATCTCTACTAGCTCTCCAAATCCTTTATTTCCCCAAACCTCTCTGCTACAACCCCTGATATCACGGTTGTAAAAATCACAATCATGATTGATCTTGGTATATGGGTCGTAAATCGTAGACGTGTTAGGGTAGGGGAGGGGGCGTGTGGATGGCGATAACCTAAGATGGCCGTAGATTGTGGTAAAATATCCCTGCGGTGCCATCACTACCATATTTTCTCACCCACCATACCCCCTATGCGGATCGGCGCCTGCCAGCTGTTTTTGTGTTTATATGAAGGCTCGCCTATCCCCCACTCAAGCAGTTTGCTTTTTCCATTTGCCGTTTCTTATTTTTACTATTAGTGCACTCGGATATTGTCTATTAATGTCATAATCAGAGTTTTCAGTGTTACTCTAGATGAGCAGGGTAAACAGTCTCCCAGAATTACCAAGGGAACAGCTTCTCCCTATTCTTCGCCACCTTGATTTCCGATCTCTAACAACACTTCGCCAATGCTGCCGCAAAATGGACCTAACAATCCGAGAAGAAACCCAAAAATTGGCGAAACGCCTAATTCCGGCCATCAAGATCAGCTTTGTAAGTTTTTATTTCTGTCCTATTCATAGTTATACAATTTATAATATTTATTTTAGGATGAAGTAAAGCACTGCTACCGTGTCGCGATACGGAATCCGGATGACCCCAAGAAAACGACGCTCAGGCATTTTGGCCGGAAGCGCAAGATGCAAACGTATCAACCGGAAAAACGTGCAAAATGGGATTTTTTAGGCCAGGTTGGGAAGGTACTAGACTGTACTCAAGGTTAATATTTAGGAAATGCTGGATGCCGAAACCCCAAGTACCAGCGGGCAAATCGATCGCTCTCACCAAATTGTCGCTTACCTCGAAAAAATGGTACATGGCTGCGAAGTGGGGAGTCTGATTTTGGAGGAGGTACGACTAGTTCTTATACAATAAATTATTTTAAATTTCAGTTGGATCTCGAATGCGGGTTGATGGAGAAGCTACGGGTGCTTTTCGCTAGGGAAGAAATAAGGCCGAGACGGGTGAAATTGGAATTTTGTCGGATAACAAAAGCTGAGGAGTTGGGACGGTTTGTCAGGTTAGTTTTAAACGGTACGGCTCTCTCCCTATTTCTCTCGCTCTCTCTTTTTCTTTCTATCACTATCTTCTGCCACTATATAAATCGATACTCATTCTCAATTTAAACTTTTCAGCACTCTGTCTCCTTGCGAGCTAACCTTGAGCTACATCAGAGATTTGGACTCAAACCCCTTCAAATACCTTGAATCGACTACTCAAGCCCTTGAATTCCTCGACGTGTCCAACCTATCTTTTATGCGCCAACCCAAAAAGTAAGTTTTTAATTACTCGTATATTCCAATTTTGTAGAAAACTTGAAACTGCCACCTTTTTGGGAATGCTGAACACCCCGACGCTATGTCTCGATGTACCTGGAGATATTAGTAACAAGAAATTCGTCAAAATCTGGCAGGTATGGAAAAGGCAGACTAGCAGAGATGCTTTGAGCAATCCAGTTCAACGTCCTTGAACCTTAATTTTAGCAAAAAGCATCAATGGCCCGATTAAACTGGAGAATATGCCTATCCGAAGATGCGGACATCGAAGTCTTGCAGCGAACAATCACAAGAATCGACGACGCCGTTAAAATATCTGTATTTCGAAAGAATTGTGTTGATCTGGTCAAGTAATAGAAATAAATTATGTATTTTGCTGCGCTTCAAAAAGGCAAAATTAATTTCAACATTTTATCAAAAATCATGAGGCAAAGTGACGCGAATACAGATGACAAAGATATCAATTGGAAAAAATAAAAACATATGGCATAAATCACGGCGCATAAAAGTACATAAAAACATGAAAGAAATCGAAAAACTGTTACATACCAATACTTTGTACAACGTAAATGCACTTCCCCGGAGTGGACAGGAAACCTGGCAACGCATTAAAGCCACGGCCAAAGCGAGACAAAAATAAAAATGACAATACAATATAATGCGGTCTGGACTAGAGACTTATTCAGCGTTTTGCACATAAATGGAAAATGATTAGTGACATTGAACAAAAATTATTGTTCTTCCTGACTAGCAGAAAACTCAGCAAGTTAAAAACAGGCATGGAAATTAAGGAAGTAAAAAATAAATTTAGACCAGATTAGCATAAAAATAACGTAAAAAAGGCGACTAAATTTGGTGAGGGTGATGGCAGTATTAAGATCATGACAAGAGATCAAGTGAGTAAGAGATCAAAAAAAAGAGAAAGAGAGAGAGAGAGAGAGAGAGAGAGAGGGGAGAGAAAGTGGGAGAGAGAGAGAGCCAAATCCCCAAATCATGCCCTATCTACCGTAATCGGGATGAGAGCTGGCATTTGGATTGGTGATTGGATGGAGTGTAGCGGAACGGCGGGGCTGCAGTTTGTGCCGTGATTTCGGAGGGCTTTTTTGGTGGGGAATACCTGAAAAATCTCGGTAAAAAGGATAGTATACTTAAAGTAAAAAAATTTAGAGAATTTATAACAACAAATAAAAAATCAATAAAAATTTACTTGTTGGCATCCATTGCATGACAATACTTCAGGTGAATCTCTAGGTCGGTGCCAGCGGCGATGTGATGCCAGATTGGCAGGGCAAGAGAATACCTGAAAATCGTATTTAATATTACAATCGATATTATTAATAAAATGCCCAAATTTGCATAAACACTCTATTTTTCAATGCCCAAATATGCGTTTTCCATCTGTTTATAATACTAAAAACTGCTTCGGTACCTCCAAAAACCTGAAGCAATCTGGCAAATGACCCTTTCGGGTTGACCCCAAGACCCCAATTATAATTGAGAGCGCGGCATTGGCCCTTTAGAGTGGGTTGTTTATGCAGATTCCGCATGGCATAGAAGGGGGGGGGGGGGGGGATGTGGCCACCTGTGGGCCCTCGAGGCGGAAGCTTTATGGCCCAACACCGGGGGCCAGTCAACGAAAACAAGATGGAGGGCTGTCAATAGGTGGTTGGAGGAATTGGGATGGGATGGGTTCGTAAAGGGTATAAAATAAAAATGGATCAAAATTCCATAAGAATAGCAAGAGGCAAAATTGCTAAAACAATAAAATAAACTATAAAACAATAAAACAGTTATTTTATCTAAAAAAATTATTGCTTTAAAATGCAGCAAATTGCAATTTTCAGTGTCTGGCCATTTCCAGTCAACTATAAAGTACAAATCCGTATGATTTAGTATTAACCTGGATTTGAGGCTGGCACTACCATCGAGTCGAGAGAGAGAGAGAGAGAGAGAGAGAAAGAGATAGAGAGAGATAGAGCCAGAAATAGCGAGAACAAGTCACGCAATGTCGGCTAAAGATCTAAAGGCCCCCTAAGAAGACAAGGGCATCAAGGCGAAGCTTGTTGACATGGTACAGATGGCCGAGAAGACCCGATGAGAAGGACGGGGGGGGGGATTTGTGGATTTGTGCACAGCGGGTGGCTGGCTTCTAGAGTGGGACCCTGCCGTCAAGAATGGTATCCAACTGGGCCCCTCGAGGGGCGGCTTCTTCTTTAAGCCGATATGGGTTGGTTCAAGAATTTTACGATGGTAATTCAGTTTTAGCTATTCCAAATGGTGTTAGCTAGTTTTCTAAGCCGTAGAAAAATACTTGCCTTGTCACACTCGGGGCATTTGTATTCCTGGTGGGCGATGCGTGGGCATTTGTGTTGGGCCAACCGGAAGACGTCATCATATCTGAAAATTGAATTTCTTGCAAGTTAATAAAACACACGTCAGGGATACTATTATACTGTAAAACATAAAGACCGATGATTCCGGAAAGTAACGTACTTTACACGGCACAGTGAGCATACGCATTCTCCGATCACATTTGGAATAGCTGCAACCGCTTTACGGGATTCCTAAAATGTCGAAAATGTACTGCCTATTAAAATATTATGTACATTAATTACAACATCTTTAGAAAAGTTACAAATTTTTGTATAATTAATCAAGCCTATGCTTACCTCAGTAACATTCACAAATGCTGCCGTCTCATCCAGCTGATCAGCCTCTTTTTGCAGCTCCTCAGGTGGAGGTACGGTAGATGCTTCCTAAAATAATGCAATAAAAAAATTTAGTCTGGCTAGGTTTTCAAAGCTTTTCCCCCTAAATTCCGGTTTTCGGTGGCAAGCGTCCAGATGGTGCTGGGCCCCGAGGGTACCGTTGACAGCTGGCTGGGCCAAAAAGACGGGCCCCAAATTGGGCCGCAAGGCCAGGGGACAAGCACGCAAGGGGGTGATTGATCGGATCAACCGGGGGTTTAAAGGGATTGTGAAGTCAACGGGTTAGTGACCGTGACGTTTAAGGCTAATTCTTGTTGTCGCCGTCGCTTTAAAAGCGGATTAATACTTGCACGGATACACCAAACTTATTTTAACCGTCTTGCTTTTTAATTATGGAAATTACACTATTAAACCTAAGAAAACCTATATACCCACCTTTATAAACATTCCGCTAACCGGCGAAATCTCATCACCAGCCTTGTCCTCCTTCTTCCGTTTCTCCTTCTTCTCCAGTTTCTCCAACTTCTCGCCGGCCCGCTTCCGGCTTATCGTCACATCCGGGCAAATTGCTGTTTCCTCGAACAGCGCCAAGTTGATCGCTCGGAGCGGTATTGGCTACAAGATTTAATAGATATTGTTTTCTTGAACTGAAATTCCGCTTTTTTGCAACTCACCTTTGGCAAACTGGGATCGGGTTTAATCTCGAGCTCATCCGGCTCAGAGTCGGTGAGAATCGGGCTGTAGTTGGGTTGGCCGGCGGATTGAAGAGCGAGGAGGCACTGCAAATTCAAAATAAATTTATATATGTAAAAATTAAAGTTAGGCTAGGCTAGATACTGAGTTAAAAAGTCGTTTAAAACAGTTAGATGATTTTTAACTAACTAACAAACTACTCACTTGAATAGCCGCCAATACATCTGGGCTCGGCCATACCGGTTGGAAAGCTTGGAACTTCAACCAGTCGTTTATATTCTAAATTTAGCATATAAAGCTATAATTAAAAGCTCCACCTCATGAGCACTATCTTCCGAACTACACGATGGTACTGGTGACGGGGTGATGGTGTTGAGTGGGGGTGGAAAACCACGGTAGCCCAGTAAGGACTGGGCCCACAGGCCCCCAAGTGACATCTAAAATATATGGTTTTTCAACTTGAAACGCGAAATAAGCAAATAAAATTTACAAAAAGTTTACAAAGATCTATAAAGCCATAAAAATCCGTTGTCCCGGTACGCCAATCGAAAATTTATAGCCAAAAAGAGGGGGTTGAAAGTTGCCCGCGGAAATCCATTTTTGAGTAGGTTCCTGGAACTTGGACCCTCGAGAAATGTACAGAAATGGAGGCGATATAATGCAGTATAATTTAGACATTAAGTGGATCAAGATACAGTATCAAAACCGAGAGAAATGGAGACTTCAAGATTTGGTATACCCTAAAAATTAAGTTACCCAAGCTACAGTACCCAAATCGACTCAAGCGACAGTAGACCTAAGAATAACACTTAAGGATTCTTATTTAACCAAGAACTTAAAATACCAAGCTACAGTACCCAATCCCGACCGTTAGCTATGCTGGCTGGGTGGCTGGTGGGGTGGAATGGTGTGAGAAAGGGTCGGTTGGTGGGTGGTAGCGGACGATGGGGCCAGCTGGAGGGACTCAACCCTTCGACTCCGCCCACCAACTGCCAGGTGTGGCTGTCCCTTAAAAAGGAGGCTTCACCACAATTAGGAGGTCGAGTCTCGAGAGTATGGATCGATTGGGTCTAGAAAACCGGATGTGCAAAAAAGGCCAAAATTTAGCTGCGAAAGCCAGCAATCGGGAAGAAAGCGAGGTTTTTTAGAAAAAATCCAGAAAATGCGGAAAAGGCTGCCTAGCATTTGACGCGATTTATTCATATTATCTCTTGCCGTTTTTATATAGCAATACGATTTTAAAGGGATAGACGTGCAAAAAAACCTAATTTTTGATGAATGGAGCACGAAGTTAAAATACCGTACCCTGCGGAGAAGGTCAGGATTTTCTTTGTCATAAGACTTTACATTTCCGTTAGGAACAATACTCAATAAAAACTATATACTTAAATCAGGTGTGAATTTCCTTCCTAACGTTTTAGCGCATTTCCCAGACTGTCTAATGCCTTTAAAAGCTCAAACAAAATTTTTCCACAACGACTTCGGCTATTTCTAACTTCCCTAAAAGTCACCGCTAGTGGTTGTGTACAATATTTGTCCACAATCCAACAAAAACAGTAGCGGCATTGCCTCCCCTTCTTGAGCTGTCACCCTAAATCGTGTCAGTTCAAAAGGTCGGCTCTGCCTGGCAGAGACTCGCCAAATCTGCATGCAAATAGCCTCAGGGGCCCACCCATGGATATCGGTGAGGAAAGAAAGGAGGACCATATGCAAATGGGGTAGAATAAGGGCGGGCGGCACTCCTTGGAATGGTCAATCTCTTCTGACACCTCGGTTCTTCGGATTGGAGGGGAAGGTTAGGGAGAGAGAGACAGGCAGGGAGAGAGATAGAGAGCTGGGTAATTGATGGTCATTCCGTATATTCAATCCACCCATCATTTCGGTGGCTTAACCCGGTGGGGTCATGGTAGATCAAGGGCTTCATCCCGCCTCATTCAAGTCGCGGGAATGAGGGAGCCTAAGATAATTGACCGTTTTTGCATAGAAAAGAGATGCTTGGACTGTTTTTGTATCGTTAATAAAGGGAATATTACATCTATATTGTTGTGAAGGGCACTGTAGCTTTCAAATGCACTTAGAAAATTGATTTTAATGTATTAGAATAATTTTTATTGCCGCGTATCGACAGAAATATAAACACGCATTTCCGAAGGGGTACTGTATTTTTATTTTTTTTTCGAAAAGATTTCAACATATTTAAAAGTCAACCGTCTCGACAATTTTACCTAAATTGAAGTTTTCACGCTATACTGTGCGATTTTTACTGTCTAAATTGCAATCGACCTACCGTAACCCTCTTCCACAAAATTGAGCTGTCACTCGAAACCGTCTGTCCACTCCTTCAGTTCAATAATTCATCGTGGACCGTGTCTCCAATTTGCACGCTCAATCGCTCATCGGCTCTCTCTCTCTCTCTCTCTCTCTCTCTCTCTCTCTCTCTCTCTTTCTCTTTCTCGCCAAAATACTCAATTCATTGCCCCCGGGGGTTTTATCGTCTCCAGAGACGGTGTGTGGGTGGGCGAATGGCAGGTGGTGTATATGGGATGGTAGTGTTGTTGCATTCCTTCCACGCCCATCAATCCCAAATGACTAATCGTGATGGTCGACCGGTGGTGAGGGCCAAATGGTGGGTAGTGGCCATTATTTCTCGCATAATTTCTGGAATGGGGTACGGTAGGGATGATAATTGTGAATTAATGGGGTAATTCCGTCTCTATAAAATTGAAAATTACAGTTTCTTTAAAGGGCTTGGTAACGCATCTATCGGGTCTTCTGCAAAACAAAGTGAACTCTAAAAACTGCAAAAAAAAACTCTAAAACATACAAAATCCAACCCATGGTTATTTTTAGTATCTTTTTCCAGAAAGCTACAGTAATAATAAAGCCCCTCTATTCTTCCACAGATGTCCCAAAGGTCAATGAATATGACACTACCAATTTAGCAATTGAGAGACCCCCATCTCCATCCCACGGCTTGACCCGATCCGATCGCCCCTAATTAAGGGGTACACCGATCTATTGGCCCTCGAGTACTATCCACACTAATAGACAGAGGCGCCAAAAGTGGCAGTACCACCCCTCAGACCACACCCAAAATAATGGGGGCACTCATTTGGAGGGGGGCAGAACAACAGTATGAGTGGCTACATGGACAGCTGGGCCGATGGGGGGAGGTGGAACTTTTGTTTGGAGGTTAGAATACTGTTTTGAGTGGGTGGAAAGGGTCAATTAAAGGGGTGCGGAAGGAAACAAAAATGGCTTATGGATTCTTCTAGAATATTTCCAGTCCACCGTAAGCCGAAAATTCCGGGATTATTGTCTTCTAATTTACGCTCAAGTGACCGTAAGCCGGATAAGCTTAGAATTTTCCCTAATTGAAGGTATCGGGTTGTACTCTCATATCTATTAAAAAAAGTGCAAGGGTTTCGAAGGCTAAATTCTAGAAGATGCTCTTTCTACCGTCCCTCAGTAAGCTTGGACTTTTGAATTATAAATATGTGACGGGATTCTGCATGCAGAATTTAAATGCCGTTACTATATTTTAAAGCGCTCAAGCTACCGTACCTCCATCGAGCTTTAATTCACAATTCTCAGTAAATTTAGGAGATCTAAAAGCACTAATGCCTCTTAAGTTACCATATTCTAAACCCCTGCACCTCCTACAGTACCCCAAAAGTCAAAATTTCACAACCCAATTCTCGGCATGTCATGGTGTGCTTTTTCTCGAGCCTCGCCATGGGTACGCGGTGGCACCAAGCCACCCCACACCACACACCCAAGCAGACCATTTGCATAAATCCGGGGGGTTGTTCGCGGGGAAAGAGGCGGAAAAACCGCTGGAGGGGCTGCTGTCTCGAGGGTTTTTTCGGAAGGGTTCCGCCACCTGGCCCTACACACATGCGAAACCACCGGAAAATCGGGCCACCGACCCGCTTTCGCGCATTTCACAGGGGGGAGAGCGCGTTTTAGGAAATGGGTTCGGGCATCTGGCGGGCGGTCTGTTGATGGTATTTGAGAAGAATTAGCATTGAGACAAAGTGGGAACTGCCAAAAACGCTATTTTGAAGAATTCTGCTTTTTGGAGCTTGTACAACGCGTTGAGGCGCTTTGGAATTCGAGCACTGCCGTTTGTAGGCTTTTAAGCGCTATATTTTTAGTTTTTGGAACGCTTACGGTATTCATAATTTTATTACATAGCATCCATATGTTAACAGGCCTTACAATGCAATTTTTCTTATGCTTTGGCGTTTTAAGAACCTACAGTACTCCTAAGACTTAATTTTTAAACCCAGAATCGCCCTAAAAACCTAAAAATTCCCGAATAAGGTAACCAAATCATGAAATTTTTCGTATTTCAAAGTATAAAGTCTACAGTACCTCCAGTTACGGAAATTATAGTATTTAGATACTATTAGATAAGCATAAAATAGATAAGCATAAAAACCGGTTGTTTTAAGTTATAGCATGGTACGTATCAAATGTCAAGCAGTGAAGATGACGATCCGAGATTAGGAGGTCAGACTGAGGTGGTGGCCCTTGTTGGGCCGATATCCTGAGATTACCTACCTCTTCAGCCGGGTTGCGCAACCGTCCAGCTGCCTCCAAGCGACACCAGGGGTTTTTTTCGGAAGATGGTATCCCGCTAGTTTGCACCTTTATTACCGTACTATAGGGTTCGTTAATTTTGGGGTTGTGGTTGAATAATAGCGATTTATGGGTTCTAGGGTTTATCGTTTTTTGGAAATTTTGCCTTCAGGGCCTCTTTAAAGGGATGTGTAAGGATTTATTGATTTATTAACTCAATAGTAAATAATTCATTACAGTTTTGAGTAAAATATAACTATATTTAAAATAGCAAAAAACAGTAAAAACTAGCAAAATTTTGTTTCGTTTATAATTTTACCGAAAAACAGGATTTTTAGACAAATAATTTATATTTGCCTCTTTTTTAATAAACATTCGTCAACTTTACGGATAGTGATAGTGAAAAAACAGTTTAGAATTCTCTATTTATATTAAAAATTAAAACTTTTGGGAAAAGTTGGTTCCCCTCGATAACGCAATAGAACCAATAAGTGTCTATAGTCAAAACATCCATAGTAATGCCTTGCCAATCCCTTTAAAACCAGCCACTCCAAGAAGCTTCACCCTTCCGGTCACTTCACACCGAAGATGGACTTGTTTTCGAGGCCGTTCTCCACATCCAAAACCGTAAATAGCCCTAAATCAGGCAATAGCCGAGAAGGCAGCTGCACCGGGGCCAACAGGCTTATACCCCCCCCACCCAACCAAGGAATATCATAGGATCATCCGCTCGCTTTGTAGCCCTCCCATTCCACCAAGGAATCCAGCCAATCCACACATCTGCCGATGCCGTAGATCCGATCAGAATTAGGGGGAGGGGGAGATGCTACGATGCACAACAAGTTACAAAGGAGCGGCGCGGTGGCGTTGATAGGCTTTTCGCGTAGTCTTGAGTGGTAAACAATACATTTCAGGGTTGTTGAATTGAGGTTTGATGAGTTGTGGAAGCATAGTAAGCTCTTAAAGTTTATATATTTTTTTTTTGCTTCAGTGGTTGTTGATGTAAAAACTACGAAATGCAACAACTTACGAAAGTGTCCATAGTTTAGTTTTGTGGTGTAGTCTCGAGTCTGGTTTTAACGTTAAATTGCACGAAAAACCGGGTATGGTGAGCTATTGAAGTATTATACCCCTATTTTTCATGGGCTGTATCTTTGTCTATATATTTTGCCTTCCACGCTCCTTTAACTCCCCAACCCTCCCATCTGCCCTCATCCCCCAGAATGCCTAACAATTTGTCGATGGAATGGGCATAAAATGAGGGCTGGTTGTGACAGTGCGATGATATGCGTGTGTGCTTTCTAAAGGAGAGAGGGAGAGAGAGAGAGAGAGAGAGAGAGAGAGAGAGAGAGAGAGCACCACCGAAAATGGGTAGCCAAAGGGGGCAGATGGAGGGCAGGTGTTCTCCAGCCCTAGAAGGAGAAGGCTCCACTCTTCATCGGTCAGTCCGGGTCATCCCCCTCGGGAATCCCCTCCAGCTGCCACATCCTTTGCTAGAGGAAGAGAGAGAGAGAGAGAGAGAGAGAGAGAGAGAGAGAGAGAGAGAGAGGGAGAGACGCCGGGAGCAAGAGCAGAAAATGGCTGTCGGGAGGCTAATTGGGCCCACCACCATTCTCTATACGGCCCCTTCATTTCCATGTGACGGCTGTGGATTGGGGGTAGTGCGCGAAATAGGAAAAGGGTTGGGAGTAGGGCGAAGGTTTTAAAGGAACCTGTGGGGGGGGGAAAAGGGGGAAAAATTTATTTTAGGATTCCCGGGGGGCCCTTGGGGGAAAAAGGGGAAGGGGGGAAAAAAAAAAAAAAGTTTTTAGAAAAATAATAGGGAGGGTGTTTTTTTTTTTTTCGTTTTTAAAAAAAAGTCTCAAAGCTTATGGATTTTCAAATTTGGAGGATTACCATGAAGAATTTCCACAAAAATCCAAAATTTTCTTTCAGTTACAATTCGGAAACGAGCAGAATTGTTGAGAACTAGCAATATTCTGATTCTTTTCACCAATTCGCAAATAAAAGACTTTTAAATTATAATTTTGCAACGATTTCGTAAAAAAATTTTTCCGAGAAATTCAATTCTCCCAGTTTTGACTTTCATGATATCCCAATGCCTTAAAAATCCAATTTCTTTATCATGACACAACCAGAGAAAAGTGACAAAATGCAAATTAAGTGTAGATTGGAATGACTAGGAAGGCATACAGTATGACCAGAAGCAGAAAATCAAGAGAAAGAGACAGCACCTACAGTAGGACAGCGAATGAAATTGGAAAATGACTGGGCATTAACACTGAACCGGTACTTGTTTGGGATTCACGGTTAACACAGATGAATTTAGAGATTAAAAATGGAAAAAAATTGGGAATGCATAGAGGTTTTTAAAGAAAATGACTATATCGTTTTAAAGGACTTGTAAAGTGGTTTTCGTTCCGGCTGATGTATTTCCGGGGCCGGCTGGTGAATTCTGGCTAACGCTTGAGCTGCGCTTTGAGTCGATGTCCATGAAGAACGTCTCCATAGGTTCCTTAAAAAATGTGGTACAGTACAAACTACAAAAGTTACCTTCACGCCTTTGACCTTGATTTTTCCGCGGGATTGGACACGAAAACCGGCACGTTTTAGCAGTTGGCCCATCTCGGTTGTCACCTAAAATTGTTGTAACTGTAGTTCAGTATTTTTAGAGTTTAAAGTTGAAATTTGACTATTGATTTTATATCTAATTTCAACATACATGAATTTTTCTGGGCTCTCCATGCGTGTCCATCCGGCTTGCCAAATTTACCGTATTTCCCCAGATGTCGTACTGTGGCTTTTGGGCCCCAATAACTCCGGCTACTAGGGTTCCAACTGACATTCCTGAAACAATGTTAAAAATACAAAACAAAATACTTTAATATGCACAGTACGATCGAAAATTAATTACTACGGTAATACATACCGATTCTCAGCTCAAAATTCTGGAAAGAATCACGATTAAGAACTTCCAAGAGCTGCGCCATCGCCATCGCAAATTCGATCATTACGGTAGCATTTCGGAATGCCTAAAATTTTTCATAGATTTGAAAATTTAAACTACCGCATTTTCCATCCGTCGCTTTAGCATTGTATCATTCCCATCAAATGGCTAAATCGATATTAAACAGATTTCAACAATTTTTTACCATATCTTCGAGTTCTTCATTTAGCCCGGCGGCGGCCATATATGTACTCCCAACAGTTTTAATCTTTTCGACGCTTGAGAATTTTGGTTTGGAGAGTAACTAATTAACATTGTTTCATATAAATTCATTTTAAATCGAGTACCTTATCAAATTCGCATACAATCTCGTTTAGCAACCTCAGACATTCCAATTTTCGGCTGGTATCCCATTGGCTCCAAAAGTCCTAGAAATGGATATAAATGAAGAATAACTTATTAATAAACTAAAATGGACTATCAAACCTTGGGAAAGCTTCATACCTTAAAATTCGGTATAGATGCAAACATGACGCAAACGTTTTCATGTACTCTCGCGTACAACTCTTCCACACAACGATCCGGAGCCAAAAACTTTGCGGCCACAGAACTCGGCAAAATATTTTCAATTAAGATCTAAATAATTAACATTACAGTATCTACCCCAGATATTACCTTATTAATATCCTGCATAGTTTCCACATCCTTTTCCTCGTTTTCAAAAGATACGTGACAGGCCGATTCGGCTTTTCTTTCATAGTTTGTCTAAAAAGCTTATATTCTCGAGATTTTAAATTTATTTCTTACGATCCAGTCGACAAATAACAGCAATAGAACCCCAGCAGCCAAGTTGAAAATGATGACCGTTAGTTGGTAGCTAATAAAAGGTTTTACTAAAAACTCCCATTCCACCTCAATTTTTCCTTATCGTCCCGTTTCTTGTTGTAGACCGGAAACATCGAAAGGAGGATTTGGAATAGCCCAAAGCTGAGCGAGAACAAGAAGCAACGGTAGGAGTACGGCAGTCGGTATAGCATAAATACCGAAGCCAGATGGGTGATGCAGGCTAAAGGTTTTATAGAAATTCAAATTTTATAAACTACCTGGCAACCAGATCAAAGAAGAAAACGATTCTTGTTCCGGGTCGCTACGCGTTGACAAAATGAACTTAAAAAATATAAATCATATATATATAAAATATAAAAAATGTAAAAAAATATAATATATAAAAAAATTACATGCGGACCAATCGTGATTAAAGTAGAAATGAGGAATGATGTAGAGGCGAGTAGATGATGCGCGAATGGGCAGAGTCTAAAAATTCAAAACACGTTAACTAAATTTGTAATAAATGTTTGATAATTAATAAATAACAAATATACAATAACCAAAGATAATAATAAATATATAACAAAACATTTTATAAAACTTTTTTTCTTCAGTTCCTTACCGATCGATAACTGCCAAAAAGCATAACCCAAGCGATGAGACGAAAAGCAATAATCCCATTAGAATCTGGGTATCCTCCCTGAAATTCCCAAATAATCTCTGCTAGCTTGCCTTGTAACCTACGGGCAATGTTGCCTGATCGTCAACATATTTGCCAACCCAACCGGCAATGAAATCAATAAAAATAGCGTACAATCCGAAAAATGACACATTATTGAGCGGGTGCTGCAATATGGTAATTAGATTTACGAAATCGAATCTAATACCTAAAGGGCCATAGAAGATATGGAGGTGGGACCACTTTTGCTCCTTTACAGCTGAACATATTTGTGAAACTAAAAATATAATTGATTTTCAAATTTAAATTCGATAACCTACTTATTAAGCGAAAAATTGGTCAAATTATTTTCGATCAACGTCATGCTCTGCACGGTGTTCGAATAATGGGGCCGTCGAGGAGCATCACAGTTCTAAAAAATTATATGATAAAACTCTGTAATTTTACAAGCTATACTACAGTACTCTACACTACAAACCTCATTCTTTTCACCCAGCACGCTCCTCTTTCGCGCCAAATTCGCGAACGGCATCTCGGCACCCCAGAATTCCACCATTTTCGAGACCTAAAATGTTTTCTGTAAAATTTGCATATCACGTGATTTTCATATTTCATAAAGATTTATAAAAGGAATGGAAAAGATTGGAGGTGGGAAAGAAGCCGACATGCCTATCCCATTACCTTTGCGCCATTTCTTCGATTTCCCGGCTTTTGCTAGACAAATTTATACCAATTTGTTAGGGAAATGGAAATGTTAATAAGGTTGAAATTTGTCAACATATTTCAAAAGCATAATATGTAACTCTCTATACCTTGCTTTTCATGCTTATCCTTGAGTTGACGGCTGAACTTGGCGAGAGACCATTGGTAGTGCCGTTTTCTTCTACAGACATATCCATGGCGCGACGCCTGGAAAGGAAAATCAAACATAGATATGTAAATTAAATTAATATGACTTTAGAATAAATAAGAAATATACTTATTTCTGTAGATACTGGCAGTCCGCTCGATTACGGTAGTTTTGTCGGGAAGAATGTGGTATGTTGGCTCACCATGTGCAAGAATGTGTGGGTCGTCAGAGCTAAAAATGACAAAAATAATTATCGCTAATATGCTCACTTTGCATCGACGATACAATAATCCCCGAGCAGCATATCTTTTGTGGTTTTTGTAATGTGGACAGCGCTGAAAAACCGGTTTTAAGGATGTCACGCCCCTTTATAACCATTGTCATGCGTTTTCAACCTACCCTGGAACTCCAGCACTTTCCATATGATTTGCTAGAGTGACGTCATCACTCCAGACGTCAAATTGCCACTTACTAAATATAGGAAAATTCTACCGTAGTAAAAAGTAACCTACCGTAATCCAAGTATTCCACACAATACGGAGCCAGTGTGGACGCCAATGCGCATGTTGACATCGACCCCAGTGGCATGTCGGATTTGTCTGGAAATAATTTAATCGAGAAAATCTAAATCATACTTACTTGATTGTATTGATCATTTCCAAACCCATTACGACACACATATCTGCGTGATTTGGCCGATTCACCGGCATTCCAGACACGCAATAATAACAATCGCCCAAAAATTTTATTCTCATACATTGCAGTTTCTAAAATTCAAAATATTAGTTTACTTTAATGAAAATTTGCATAGTATCTATGAGTTAAAATCTTATGTCACACCTGCGCATCCTTATCGAATTTACTGTAGAGTTCGTTTAAGGTTCGGACCAGATCCTTTGCGCTTAATTGAGCGGCCAAGACGGTGAAGTTGACGATGTCGGCAAAAAGGATGCTAAACTCATGACTTAAATATAGCTATAAAATTAAGGTATACCTGACATTGTCGTGGACTTGCACGTGGAGCTCGTGGAAAAGTTTGTGGCCACGGATGCGGTTTTCACTGGTGACTTTTGACTAAAATTAAGAATTGATTTAGTGAATTAAAATATAAAAATTCCTTAAACTATATTTGAAGCCAAATTTAATTATTTTAAAGGGGCATTTAACGTAAGAGTCCATAAAATCTGACCTGCGATGATGACGCAACAATCCCCTTACTAACTTTGTCCGCCAAATAGGCAGGAATTACGGAGAGCAGGAGTTGATCCTGAAATAAGTTTTTAGAGCTTTTGTTTAGGAGCTTCAAACCTGGCGCTCCTTGAGCGTCTCCAGTTCCGTTCTCCTGTACACAGCTTCAGCCAGCTTATTCGCGATATCCACTCGATTTCCAGCCTCGTTTGCGTCGCAAATTATGCCGACTGCCGAGAGTAGGGCTTGGTGGATTGAGAATGAGAAGATCTATAGAAAAATTTGTTAAATAGCAGCTCTATTAACGCTTGCAAAACCTAAACTGAAAATAAAACGTACCGAATTCAACAACGCTGCCTTGCGCTTCAGATTCGAGAAATTGATGCTGATCAGCAAGACCATATTGACGAAATTCCACGAGAGACATAGGATCAAAAAAAGACGACGGCGACGCGGCAGGATTAAATGCTAAAATTAAATATTTAAATATTAATCGTGACATTAAATATTTTAAATTTAATTTTATTAAAGCAGACAATGTAATTACCTGATATAATGTCGCAATGCATAACGACACAAAGAGCGCTGAGTGCTCGGGTACCCGCCCGTGGTTGATTTCCTAAAAAAATAGATAAAGTAGGTTTTTAATATGAGATGCAGCATAAACGTATATTGTATAATTTATTGAAAAACTTACATGGACTAGATATGGAAGATAAATAACCCAGATGGCTACCGGAAAAAGCATTGAAGAGATGAGGGACACGAGAAACATGCGATTTCCATCCTAAAAGTAATGCATTATAGCTATGGCTATTGCATTTAGTTAAATTGGTATTATAATAATCCAAAGGCAATTATGGTATACACGTTACGGTATGCAAATTATTTAGAACTTACCAATTCCCGTAGACGCACCGTCAAAAAGGCCAGGGTACAGTAGAGGAGAAAGATGATGGACACCCCAAGACATACGTACTTTGTAGTCTGAATGTAAAGGTATATTTGGGAACGAACGGGACTAACAATACCTCCTCCTTTTCTTTGAATGAGTAGATGGCGAAAAGGTGGGCAATTGTGTAGACGAGGATCCAGACATGGAAGATGTTCAGGCGCGCTCTAGATTAGTATATGTAATATTAACAGCAAAATCGCTATTAAATAAACTTAATAGCTATTAAAAAAGTTTAAGAGCGATCAAGTTTCTCATTTATATATTTGAATTCCACACCTGTCCAGCGTACGCCAATGTCTGGAAAGTACGGTCCTGATCTCGGCCTTGGTCCCCGTGTCCGCTGGCGTGGCGGACATCTAAGAAACATAATATATTAATATTCATTAATAGCATTATTTAAATTTTTTATTTTATAGTTTGACGTTGTTTTTTATGTTTAACCTCAATAAACGAAATCGACGCCCTGGGGCATTGGTTGCCGTTGGTGTCGAGCCATTTGTGGGCCACATTTTCGGAGATGGTCGTGAGCCCTTTCATTTCATCACATCTGATGCGAAAGGGAGAAGGTTAAAATATAGAAAGTCAGAAAACCGTGAAAAAATGGGAGAGCTTATTAACGGAGAATCATACTAGAGAGTTCTAACCAAGTAGCTGTCACAGCGCCTCCAAGATCTTCTCAGCTTAAAAATAATCTACTTTTTGCTTGAATTAGTTGTAATATCATCTACTTTTAAAGCTATACTAATCATCAAAATCAATAGAGAGGGAGATTAATAAATTGATAATTGAAATGTATAGCAACTAGAAAATTCAATCAATTTAGGTGTCATAATCCCTTTAAGTCGTCGAAAAATTGAGCCTGGCCCCAAGTTTTGGCTGAAAATGAGCATAAGCCGATCCCCTTACTGCAGATAATCCGTAAACACCAAAAAACTCGCAACCCGAACGGCAGACAAACCCCCCTAATCCATTTCCGTAAGTTCGGGCAACCGGCAACCAGCATGAACTCCACCCTCCAACCCCCAGATGCTCCCGAAAGCTGCCAAACTAATTCTCATGTCAGCTTTTCCCCCATTAAACCCTCTCGACGCCCCATCAGAGCCCCTCCTCCCGCCACGGACAAAACATAACTCAAAACGGACGCCCAGCTGTTGTTGGGTGCCGAGTGGAATATGCTAGTTGTATTGGGGCCGAATGTTTGTTTGAGGGTAGCAAAGATCATTTGGGAAAGGGCAAAAAGGGCAAGCTGGCAAAGGTTAATTGGCTAAAATTCAAAAATTACAAGGAGTGGAGGCTTGGCAAAGATCATTCAAGAAAAAGGCCACCTACCCCAGAATTTTTTCCGAACAATAACAGCGTGTGAGTAGCGAAGATTATTTAAGGAAGCAGAAAAAGAGATAGGTAGATATAGAGAGAGTGCGAGAGAGGAGAGAAATAGAGCGAGAGAGTGAGGGAGAGAGACATCGAAGAGGATGGCAAAAGAGCGGAACTCTTAAAGCAACACGATAATAAATGCCACAAAATTTATCAAAGTGAATTAAAAAATAGCTAGATTAAATTTTTTTAAAAAATTAAAAGCAACCTACAGCATTTTCTAGCTCAAAAAAATTGCAAAAATGACAAGATGCCGCTCTTGAAAGGGTCTCGACCCACGATAGCTGAACTGACTGGTGCACGGCTTCACTTTTTGTGATGTTAAAGGGAAGGGGTTGAGATGGATGTGCCAAGGGATGTAGAGAGAGAGAGAGAGAGAGAGAGAGAGAGAGAGAGAGAGAGACCGGGAACATAAAGAAACAGAATTTGACCGCCATGGCATGGGGGGGGGGAGAAAAGGTCCCCGGGGGTCCGAACGAAGGGCCTCTTTTCCTTCCACTTCTCATGAAATATGGCCAGAAAACACCCACCGATTAGCCCCCCTCCACTCTCACCCCCCGAGGGGGGGGGGGAGTATGGCACCTTAGGGTTAGGTGTAAAATTCGTCTGATTGGGATAGGTTTTATTTTTCAAAAATTCATTTCGGGCTGGTCTCATTACCTTAATGATTTACGGAAAATTCAAGATGCTTGTCTGGGGGAGTAGATTCCATAGGAGAATAGATTCAAGAATAAAGGAGGAGAATGAGAGGAGGAAGAGCAATTGGGTGTGGGGGGAACGCTTAGGAAAAGCTGTTAGGTGATCCTTGACGCGGGCATCATCAATCCTATTCCAATTACGAATCGATCTTTTTTTGTCTGGCTTATTCTCTCTCTTTCTCTCTCTCTCTTCTCTCTCTCGCTCATTTCTCAAAAACCCATGGCCCTCCATTCATCTATCCCCGAAGAAATGAGGGGTATCCAGTAATCGAGTCCAGACGTTGAATTATGGACATCACGCCGTTGTTTAGGCATCCTCCATGAGCAACAGCTTTTTGGCGAGCACGAATTGAAAACGTGCAAAAACGAAATTTAGCGTAGCCAAACGAAGCTTCAGAAGTAAAAACTTAGAATTTTGAGTATTTCGAATTTTCCGCAACACTCCACCACCTAGTCCCACACGCAACACCCAGCCTTCAATCTAATTATGGATAATTTTTGCAACGACGGCCTCTACGTGGGAATCTCCACAGCAGAACGCCAAGGGCACCCGAAAAAGGGCCGAGGATTTGGCCGGGGCCCATCAAAGAGCCCAAAAAAGATTGGATGCCCCACACACCTCACCCCCCCGCCCCCGCCAATCTACAACCAATCATGGATCATGAGCAGAAAAAAATATGCTTCATTTTTACTTTAACGGGAAAACTTTTTTTAAGCTGCTGCCGGATGCGAATTTACTTTACCCCAGCTGTCACTTAGAAATTAAGAAAAAATACACGGTAAAAATTATCCTATTAAATTATGGTTTACAGACCTGCAGAATATTCTTATTTTGCAATACCTATTCGATTTTACATTATTTAGCGCTTAATTGACATTCTAAACTCTTTCTTGCCGATCTATCGACTGATCTATCTACCGAATGGTGTCTGCAAAATCCAGGAAACTAGGAAATGAATAAGACTAACTTCTCACCCAACTTTCAAAGCATATTTTTTACAAAGAAAGGTTATATGAATTAAAATTTGTTTGCATATTTTTTGATGATTTATGAAATCGCTTAAAAAAGCTCATATAAGCTTAAGCACAAAAAAAAGTTCAAAATCTCGGGCCTTCAGGTTGCAATAACAATTACCCCGAATGTACTCGATGCGATACAAAAAAAAAATATTTTAAAGGGAAATTGGAAGCGTAAATCCTTGATAAAGGAGTGTGAAAAGCTGGCGCTAACGCTTGAAGCGAAGGGTGGCCCGCGGCGGCGTTTCCTAATTTCCGGCGTTCCGCGCCAACACCGACCGCACTTGAACTGCGGCCTAGGGAAATTGGATTTCGCTTTTGCTGTGAGGGGGTTGTCTTTTGGATTTCTTAGAGGGAAGAACAAAAGTTTTCCTGAAAAATTTATTTTTAAAGGGACGAGAAAAGGCTTAATTCAACCCCTTGCATCGACTGGGTCTCGACAATTACGCAACCGTGGGGGAAAACGCTACAAAAAGGCGTATGTTTTTGCCAGTTTTTGCAAAATTCTGCTAAAAATTAAATTCACGTGTGTTTTGGGGTATTTTCAGCTTTTAAAAAATTTGTTTCCTTTTCGAAAAAGGGGCTTTTCAATAATCGCTTTTTGAAAAACCAATTTTTGCAAGGTATATCAAAATAGCTATACCCACCTCCATACGACCACCAAAAGTCACGGTCCTCCTCACCGGCCGCGTCGGAAACCCACGCTGTGGTACGGTATTAGAGCGCATCCTTTAGCCCGGCCAAGAATTATGGCGAGACCCCCCGTCCGTCCTTCGTTTTCGAGCCTCCCCCAACGAATAGAGAAGGCCGGGAAGTGGGCCCAATCTTAAAAGATTGGCCCCTCCACGCCAAATTGCCACCAATCCACGTCGCGATTCGATGGAAGCGGCGCCTAGTGGGGGGTCCACCGAATTTTGCTAGCTAGTGCCCTCCGAGACCCTCCCCTTGCCCGCCAAGAAATTTTTTTGAGACCATCATTTGCATACAAATTACACAACGCTCTTCGGAGAGGTCAGTTTTTGGTGGGTTAGTTTAGGTATTTGAGCTTTTGGTATCGCGTAAAAAGGACAGATGGGCGAGAGAAACAAAGAAAAAGAAGAAACTCGGTTATAAGAACCTTTTTAAAATTATATAATTTTGCGAAGAAACTCTGTAATATAAACCCTTGGCTTCATTTTATCGAAAATGTTGTCGAAAATAATGTTGTCGACATTTCAATACTATTTTGCCTCGGCTATTCATCTCAAACAGTTCCCAAATCGAAATTTCAGCGCATTGAAATTTCGACAAGATGAATTTCGAGAAAATAATAGCAACTCCATAATTATAATAACTATTAGAATTAGCATAAAATTTGTTAAAACACAAACCATATGATATGCATAGCGCTTCCGCTCTTCTTTCCCGGTTTTCTTTACCATTTTTGTAGATCTGAAACATTGAGATTAACGTACGATATAGTTTGAACAGCATAGAAAGCAATTAATTTAAAAGGAGCAAGACCTACAAATCTATGAATATTTGCGAAGATACGATATTATTTATGCAAATTTCAATGTATTTTGGTGGCTACCTTACTCAAAATAGGTCAAAATTAGTAAAAAAAAAGATAAATCTAATTCTCAAAAAGAAGAATTCAGCACTCATCTTGTGAGGCTTTTGAGGGTGAGGTGTGCGAAGGAATGGTGTTGGCCATATATTTATACGAGGGGCCGATGGGTGGAAGCGATGCCGATGGAAGGGTGGAGAAGCGAAATGACCGGTGGGGGGCTCATGAAAAATCGGCTCTCATCTCGCTTATTGGATTCGAGGCTGAGAACGATGGAGGTGGAGGAGGAGGTGAAGGAGCAAGAAGAGGAGAAGGAGGCCGAAGAAAGAGGGTGGAACGCTTTGTCTGAAGCTGCAGGTACCACCAGATCTTTTAAGTTGAAAAATATATTGAATTTTGGAAAAGGGGCCTTGGGACGGCAAATTTTCTGAAGTTATTCAAAAATAGTAGCTTTTACATCGTCAGATTTACATACAGTAACGGACAAAAGTTTATCACCCTCGTTTTTCCGACCTTCTAGAGCGATTTCCCGGAAATCCCCGGCCATAAGACTTCCAATTAAAAGTGTCAAATTCGGAATCAGCGTGCAATTTTACATTTAGTAAATTGTAAATTGGAAGTCTTATGGCCGGGGATTTCCGGGAAATCGCTCTAGAAGGTCGGAAAAACGAGGGTGATAAACTTTTGTCCGTTACTGTAGTCTATTAATGTAGGCATTTACACTTTAAAATAACGTAAAGTAAGCACTAAAATTGCCTTGAAATCACCTATTAATGCATCAATCACAACCTGGACTATTGCAAAATACCCACCGTAACCTCGATTTGTCAAAGTTCAATTTATTCTATCCCCCTATTTGGCCTACGGTAGATTTACTGCCATTTACCAATCATCCACAC